TCTCTGTCTGAAGTTTGAAGACAGGCCATCCTCGACAACACACACGATACAAGATATCGATGAGTGATACTCGCGCCGGCTATCTACCGGGCTGGGCGTATGAGGCTTAAAGACTAAGTAGATCAACTGTGTTTTGTGCTGTGGCCTCTTTTTCCGTGCTTTTCCTCCGTCTCTTCCATTCTTCCCGTGTTTCCCCCCCTCATCCCACCCTCCTTCATCTCGCCAGAGCCTCATTGTCACTGCCCTGGGATACTCACATCACATCCGTACCAATCCGGCCGCTTACATCCCCCGCCATCCGTGAAGCTTCTCGTCGCCTCACCCTTGGCGATATTCTTGGCAGCCACTACCCTGCTGTAGCAGATCCCGCCGGAGGAAACGCATTCCGCACCAGTAACGCTCAACCCCCACCGCTACACCACCCACAAAACCACTGACTCTGGGCAGAGCCAGATCTTGTGTTGCATACGGGCAAGGAACCCGACTCGCGTGCTTCTCCTGAACCATGGACCATGGCCCATCTGTCTCGGTGACGCCCGGCACTAGCTCGGGTCAAACCCCACGGGTCCTCCAAGCCAGTAAACAGCCCTAAACACCTTTAAACTCACCTTTGCTCCGTGGATCAAAACAGAGTCAGGGGATCATCCCCCACGGCCAGACCTCATTTGAAATGGCCCGTCCGGTCCATTGTGCACCCACTTACGCCGTGGGCTCTCTTCTTCTGCGCAGAAGCCTGTGAAGAAGCCGTAGCAGCGCGCACGGATAAGAGCTCCAAGTCAAGCTGAAGCGGGCAGTTCTTACACAAGACACTCGTCGAAAGGCCATGCCCCTTGAGTCCGAACCTGGTCACGATGGTTTTACGATTTTCCGCTTCGTTTGGAACGCTTCTACCCCGCCACAGCGGAAAAAGCCTTATTCACTTGACTCCTTTTTGTTGATCAACAAGCCCCCTCCCACCTCGACCGAAGCTTCATTGAAAAAGGGTAAACTGGCGAAACTCTAGGTGCATCGTATGATAAGGTAGCGGCCGGGGAACCGATCAACTATGCCAAGCGAGATGTTTGTCGATCGAAGCTTCACTGTTTTCACGCAAATCCTATGACCCCGCGATGGTACGGAAACCGTATAGGGCGGATAATCAAAAGCCAATTCGACACCTCATGTCTAGGTACGAAAACGATAAACAACTGGTTAGTGAGAAAGGTAAGCAGCCAAGGAATAAGCAAACGAGCTTGGCAAGCCGCCCGACCGCTCGCTCCCTCACTCAAATCAAGCACGGGTATCTCAGCATCCGCTACTCTGTCCAGAGTCCCAAAGTCCAAACACCGCCCCAGCCGTCTCTTCCACGGACGGTAAAACACGCGAGTAAACTCCCTCCTCCTCTCTGCTCCTCCTCCTGCCGACTCCCCCTCGCCCGAACTATCTTACCGTCCGTTTTGACGTCGGCCGTACCTTATCCCTTCCCTGTCCATCCATGCAATGCGTCCATCATGCCTCACTCTTCTTCCATAGCCAATCCGCCTCAGACGATGACACCCAAGGCCTCCATTCCCAATACCCCCATGGCCAAACTCAATCCAGCCCCCGCAGCGGCAACGCCCACTAGTCCTGGACCAGTGCACCGCGCCGCGGCGACGCCTCCGGTGCTTGAGCTGGGTAACGCTACCCCTCCCGTGGCCGTCCCTCCGGCCCCGCTGCCGCCTCCGCCGCCGGTGACGCGACAGCTCGCCGTACAAGGCAACGCAGAAACGAACGGCGTAGGCGCCGCGGTGCCCGTCTCTACCGTTCCTGTGACCGTGAAGACCGGCGACTGCGAAACGGCCGTCACGTTCGGGGCGGCGTTGGGTGCGTCGACGTTGAGAACTGCATCGATCATCTGCACTACGCCGTTGGCAATCAGAATATTCGTCTGGATCAGCCGTGCCGAGTTGACAAAGATGTCGTTGTTGAACAAGGTAATGTCCAAACTCTTGTTCCCAGTAGCGGCGGTCGCGAACTCGGTCCCGTTCTTTAGGGAAGACGCCTGCACTACCCGTGAGGGTACCAAGTGGTACTGCAACACCCGGCGCAGCGCATCTTTGCTCATACCGGAGAGCGTCCCCGCGACCTGCTGGAAGGCAGCGTTCCTCGGCGCGAAGATGGTGACATTAGGCGTCTCAGCGAATTCGGCGACAAGGTCGGCCGTGTACAGCGCGCCGAGAAATGCCGTCAAATCCTGGTAGGCGTCGCGGGCGGTGGTCTCGAGGCGTGCAGGCGTGACCATGAGGCTGTCGATGATCTGGATCAGCCCGTCGTCAAAGGGGACGTCCGTCTCGAGGACCGTGGTGCGGGATGCGACGCCTGATGTGATGACTACATCGTTGTTAGGCTGTTTTGTGACGAGGACGGTTTGGCCGCCCGTCACGTTGGAGTAGCGCGCGTCGGTGAGCAGGGTGGAGATGATGCTTGAGTCGCCTGGTGAGAAGGCGTTGAAGGCGACTTTGGAATCGAGGATGCCGTATTGGAGGGCGATGGCGATGGCGTCCTTGTTTGAGTCCCAGCCTTGGCCTTTGAGGTATGCTGCGTCGCTGGGGGCGAGGATCTAGCGTTGGTAACATGGTCAGTAACTACGTTACGCATTTTGTCAGGGCTTTTTGACGTCTATGCGCTGGGCTGTTGCTGAAGGGTTATGATCCAGACGGATGGTATGCATCAAATGTCTTTTCCTTGACTGGTCTGAAAATGGGGCACGGGAGCGAAAATAGGGTGAGCCTTACCGTGACGCCGGATTTGGGCAAATTTGAGAAGATGTCTGCGTTATCCTGCAGTGAAAGTTGTCAGCTACAATTACACTGGATATGGAGGAGGTTCAACCAAGTATTGAGTCCACATCGCAAGCTCGCCAAGGCACCGAGGTCCGATCGTTAGTTGCTTGTTGTGCATGCAATGCGCAAGAGACATATGTCTCGGACCTGGGCCCGCAGATGAAGGTGCGTTGGAGATCTGAGCGTGTAGTCATGAGTCGCTATTCTCTTCTCTTACCTTGACCAGTTCGCGGAACGTTGTCAGATTCGCTTGCTTGCTGAGTGCTTCTTCTAAAGTCTGGGCTGCGACTGTGGATATGCCTGATACCACCAATGCGACGGTAGCCCACAGGGCGTTTGTAGATGGCTTCATCGTCGGGAACGGCTCGCGTATTTGCTTGAGAGGAATTAAAATCCGGAGTCTTCAAGAACAAGATTAGAGACTAAGAATCTGAGTGGTGATTTTTCAGAGAAGAGGCGATGGCGGCGCAATTATAATCATCTGCTGCATGCCCGGCACAACTGGCAAACGACACACACAATCGTCGTTGCCAGGACGAGAATGTTTGTGAAATCAAGGGATCAATAGTTGAAAGAAACAAAAGAAGGTCTGACAGAAACTCCCGAGCGTGGGACAGGATGCAGATGACATTTTGAAGGGTAACTAGCTAAATCTTCTTCCTCCTTTTGACCTTCCCAATTCGCAATCCCGCATCCCGCATCGAAGCGGCGACGCGGGCCTGGACCCCTGGGTTGAAGCAACGGGACAGGGTCGCAATGCAGCATGGCAATAGGATCGCGGGCCCTTTGCTGGCGGACCATTTCGTGGCGTCGTTCAACGCGACCCTGGCACCATTTTTCGAACAATCAAACACGCCGTTTGAGTCTTGACAACTCTCTAAGCTTCTCAGCTCTTTCCCCGGTTGAAATTAGGCTTGAAGGAGCTGAGATATCAGAAAGCAACCAATCCGGGGGTGGCGTTCGACTCATTGCGACTTTGCAGGATCGTGCGAAAACGTGGTGAAAGGGTGATGAAAGGAAGCTTAGGACGCGGCGTGGACAGGTGCAATTAAACTGGAAGGGCTGAGAGATGGTCAAAGAGGGAAAGGCGGCGCGTTCGTTGGGGTGTTTGGCTGCGCTGCCACGCTGGTCAGCTTTTAGCGTCATGTTCTTGTGCCTGGACTAGAGCCAAGAGGGTGCATGGCGCGTGTGTTGTAGACGAACCGGGGTGCCCAGGGCCTCTCTGAGGAAAGGTCATTCGCTGAAAACTCCAATGAGCACCAGTTAAATGGCACACAAGCAGGACAAGATTAAGCCGAGTTGGATGTGACTATGAGTCTGTGCCTGGATGATGGGCTCGGAGCAGCGCGGGAGATCTTCATTATGTGGGCGGAATGTGGGCAGCTCATGTTCAAAGAAGATTATGGACGAGGGAACTCCGTCAGTCCAATTACTCAGTCTCCTTCAAGTAGGATGGTTGATGGACACTACCGTGAAGGAGTAGTCAACTCCCGACGCCATGTCCTGGATGTTTGAGCTGTCAACCGGGATGTTCTGAGTAAGAACCACAACCAGATCACCAGGCTATCCGTCAGGCCCTGGATGGTGTTCGAGGTATTTTCGGGGCCTCGAAACTGTTCAAAGACCAGGGGGCGTAAATCGGCGGCACGGCTCAGCTGCCAAGCCAATACCCTGCATCTAATTGATGATCGTATGTCAGGCTGCAACAAAATGAGACTGAAATCGGCCACGACCGGGTTCACGACGAAAAGTGGCCGGTTTTATGGATATCAACCATCCTTTGCGATAGTTCTAGGCAGTTTATTACGCTCTCGGATTTCTACAATCATCGGCCCCGCTTTATTATCGGCAGACCCGACCCGGTTCTTCGGCGCTGCCCATGCCGTGTGGATTCCGGCTGTCAGCTTCGGTGGGCTCCCTTGCCGTAAAGAGACAGTATATTTGTGGCTTAGTAGTGACATGCGCCGCTTACGGAGCTGTTGGTGATGATCATGATAGGCTTCTCATGTCCACAGCCACGGTTGGTGATGCAATCGAGCAGAGGATCCGCTATTTGGGACTTTGGTATCAGAGTTTCTGCACGCTGTGCTCGCTGCCTACGACGAGAATGGGGCTACAAAGACATCCTGGTCTGCACATCGATGATCATGTCGAGTTACTCTCTCTAGAACTCATTTCAATGTTCCAGATCAAACAATGTCTTACCCTTCGGAAAAGCAAAAGGAACCGGTGAGCTCTTCCGCCGAAGATACTAGCCTAGGAGCACCTCCTCCATCCTACGAAGAAGCCGTGCCGAGCGCCGCCCAAGATGACCTACCAGAATATGGCAACCTATCAGACAACCTTCACACCGAAGCCGGGCCCTCGTCCTCCACAACTCTCACAGCCGCGACACACAAATTCCCGCCCACGATAAACTGCTACTTCCAATGGGCCTTCACAAGAACCTTTATCCTCGGTCCCTCCAACGAGGAGAGGCTCTTCGCCGCCTCGCCGCACGCGGGCTGGCGCACCAAGAGACGAGAAATCATCCTCCACGATGGGCCTACGGACAAGCACCCCGTCCTCGCGACGATCGGCAAGTGGTGGGCCGCAAAGGCTCAGACGCCTGCGACCATCGTAATCCCGCCCCAGGAAGAACGCGGCGAGACGAGCGGGTTTGAGACGGAGATTACCGGGGTGCCGTGGGGCTTGGATCAAAGTTCCGCCCGCGTGTTTTCGATGACCGTCGGGGTGAAAGAGACCGGGACGGAGGCTAGGACGGAGAGGTTTCAATGGAGGGGCAGTCGTGGCGGGGAGTTCTCTGAGCTTGCTCACGGGGGCACGTATGGGTGGAAGTTGGTTAGGTTGAATGAAGTTGCCGAGGGCGCGGGAGGGAGTAGGCGAGAGAGGGAAGCTGGATACACGAGCGATGGGCATGAGATTGTTGCTATTCTGGCGACGAATTACAAGAGTTTGACAAAGGGGCTAAAGTTCTCGTTTGCTGGCTCGGGATTGACGGGGATGTTGGGGGAGAGGTGGGAGATTGTTACCGTCGCGACTGCGTTGTGGACTTGGTATACTCACATTGAGGGCACTGAGGGTTCTTAATCTTGATGACGGATGAGGCTGGGAGAGAACTGCCATTGCATTCAACATATACCCTTCATCATTGCATGCCCTATCTACTGAATACCAGGATTTCGTTTTCAATCTATGACGTATGTTCATCCAGTTATTAACCGCCTGTAGCAAACCATCTCAAATCTGAGAAACCGTGAAATGGGCCATATGACTCTTCCGCCGCGAAGCAGTGACAAGAATTTGAAGTTGTAAGACAAGAACCGGCTGTCAAGGGATAGGTGAAGGGGCAATCAAGAGCTTTCCCCGGGTTGATGGCGACGCTTATCCGAGCGCCGCCGACGGAAGTGCTTTCCGTCATTTTCGGCATCAACCCCGCAGTCAAGTAAGAAAGCCGCTCCTTAGGTAATCACCATGTTTGTCAAAGGGCGCGTCGTCGATCTCATGAAATAAGAAGCAACTTCTCCTCAACACGATACCAAAACACAACCTTCAGCTTCCCAGGTCTTTGCTCAGAAATGGAGTATCACGAGCCATGGCTGACGGAAAAGCAAACGCGCGAGAAGACTTTCCGTGATGTCATCGCAATATGCAACGACGGCAAAGACTTGACCGGTTTGGGGTGGCTCATCGACACGACAGGTATGCCTTCTGGCTCACGAGGTGGTGACTGGAAAGCAAATTTCGTAAGGCGCCTGAATGAACCCTTGGGACCAAATAGCACCAATGTGGTGAAGATCGATATGCTTCTGCTCAGTAACGATAACGACTTCTTCGCCCGTCTCATCAACAGAACGACGCTCAAGGACTCCAACGAGGTCTTTGAGTTCCAGGAAATCGTCCTTGCTAGTTTCATACGGGATGACGGTGTTAAAGGTTGGCGGTCGTTACGGGACGTGGACGCAATGTCCAATCGCCAATATTCAACAGTCCCTGCTTCGCTACCTCCACCAAAAGCCTCGGCAGTGGCCCCTATGACGGCGGGGAAGCTGAAGGAATTCTATAAAAGATACATTGACTGTATCAATGAAAAGACAATGGAACGGGACTTTGACCAATTTTGCCAGCCGGAGCTTTTGCACAATGGTCGCAAGCTCTCGATTGCCGAGTACATACCTCTGATCAGCGAGAGCCAAGATGCGATTGAGGGCCTCGAATTCTGTGCCTACCCCGTCATCGCGGTTGAAGAGACGCAGCAGATCGCGGCGAGAATCGAGTTCACGGGGACCCCCGTCAAGGAATGGGGAGGCGCGAAGCCTAATGGCGAAGGCGTCTTCTTCGAGGAGTTTGTCATTTATCAGCTCGAGGATGGAAAGATTTCGAGTGTATGGTCGGTCGTGGACTTGGAAGCTTATCGAAAATGCATGGGTCCTGTACTCACGTACGATGAGCACTTGCGCGCACCTCGTGAGAGGATTTCTGAAGTGGACATAGACAAAATTTGGGGTACATAACACCTGTTCTTGCCGAATCTGAGCATAACATATCGTTTATGACGCATTGGTGCCGGAGAAAACAGCCTCTTATTGTACTAGCCATTGAACACAAACTCGCGTTTTGAGAACGATTGGCTTCACTTCGCTATGGTACTTCATGGATAAGCTTTCCGCAACCGGCTTCCCTTAGTTTACATGATGATACCTATTGTCGGCTTTGCTTGATGAGGGGCTTGAATCAATGTCCACTGGGACTGAGCTCGGACGTATCCTGTTAGCTGACCTACTGCAGTTCTCCACGTTCCTGCGCAAGCGGGTGATGCTAGCAAAGCCGTGTCTCTGGCTTCGCCCAAGGATGCTAATTAAGGTAAGGTACTTTGCTATTAGCTAACACCCGGTCTTATCATATGCGAAAGAGAGTTTAAGGCCGAGTTGAAAACGGAGAAGGAAGCAGAGTTGACCAAAGATGCCAGACAAGCGAATGTTCGCGCAATGAGATCGAAAGAGTGAAACCCTGACCTGCCCTTTCACACACGCGGAGGCTCGTGGCAAGTGAAAAGAAACGGCAAATGAGCTACCAGGCGAATGCCCAGAGATGATGCTACATCTTGCATCGAAGCGGTCCAACCCAATCTCAAGAGCCCAGGCTTTACTGCGGGGTGTTGGCATACGGTATGTAAGGCTAAGGTAATGGGAAGGACTTGATGACTGTTGAACTGTTGATGACTTGCTGCCCCACCGGCATCAGGAATTCACAAAACCCGAATACACTATGATCAAGTCATGATGCGTGCCATGCTCTCATCTAACGCCAGGGACAATGTGCTCGCGCACATGGGGCAGACACACTCTCTTTGGCGGTAAAAAAGAGAGCCCCGATATTGTTGTTGATGCGCTCGAATGAGAGGACGCCATCGCCACGCTCGGAAACTGGTAGATGACGAGGGTGGATCCGGGGGATATCCCAGACCAGGCCGCGGACCGCTCCCTCTTTCTCCAACTTCCCCTCATTCTTCTCATCTCAAGAAGTCAAAAGTTCTGCCCTTGTCACCATGTCCTCCTCCTTGTCCTCCAGGTATTTCCCCACAGGAGCGGAGGAGGGGAAGCTTGCAAGGGGGGGTTAAATAACGTTGTCCTCCTTTCGCGTTCGCGCGCGAAGCTTCAGACATCAACCGGTGCGCGGCCGATGTAACGGTACTCTTCACAACTTGTGCGCAAACACCCAATCCAAGCTGCTGTTACTTCTGCTCCGGACCATAGACCCTTGCTCTCTCAGTGCTCGCAGATGAAGACGCGAAATATCAACCGAGCTGAAGCAAAGAAGCCCCCCCTGGTATCCGTAGAGTCCGCGGGGCGAAATCTTGCCAAGACTGCTCGTCCTCGGTCCTGAAGCCACCGACAAGCGACGCTCACGATGTGGGTTCTGCCGTCTGGGCGAAGAGACGTTCACGCCGGGTACCACCTTATCTGAGCAGGATGCGGGGTGATCAGGCACATCAGGAACACCGGTTCATTGCGAGGCGATCTTTTCCAAAGGCCCTGTTCATCCGGGCGAAATGAGCACATGTTCTTCCTCCACCCGGTTCGCATGCGATGCTACGCAAATATGGCAACATTCTCCCCGGTCCATTGAGTCCCTTGGGGATCAGCTCATCGTGTACCCGTGGAGCTTGGGGTTCCTTATAAAGAGGATGCCCCTTCGTAGCCGACTTGATGGTTCCTTCTGTTTGACACCCTCGCGTCATTGCAACCTCAATCTCAAGCAATAGGGAAGCAAACATGGTGTCGCTCAAGTCGGCCATTCTGGCCGCTACTTACGCCGTTTCGGCTGCTGCTGTCGATGTCTCCATCAAGGCATCCGGTGGCAATGCCACCAGTGGCCACCAGTACGGATTCCTCCATGAGGTTTGTGAATCAATGCAGTTTCTTGCCCGGAGGTCTTCCAACTAACATCTGCAATCTCAAGGACATCAACAACTCTGGTGATGGTGGCATCTATGCCGAGCTGATCCGCAACCGAGCCTTCCAATTCAGCCCCAGATTCCCCGTCTCCCTCGACGCCTGGCACGCCATCAACGGCGCCAAGCTCACCCTCAAGAACCTCACCGAGCCCCTCTCTGCCGCCCTCCCCGTCTCCGTCAACGTCGCTGGGGGCAACGGCTCCGGCGCTATCGGCCTCGAGAACGATGGCTACTGGGGCATGGACGTCAAGGTGCAGAAGTACACTGGCTCTTTTTGGGTCAAGGGCTCGTATGACGGTGTCTTTACTGCTAGCCTCAAATCCGCTCTCAACGAGGACGTGTTTGGCTCTGTCGAGATTGAGTCCAAGGCATCGGCCGACGAGTGGGTTGAGCACGAGGTTGAGCTCACTCCTGAGAAGGATGCTCCCAACAGCAACAACACGTTTGCCATTACCTTTGATCCTGCGGTATGAACCTCTTACATATCTCCAAGCTGAGCCACATATACTGACGACTCGCTTCTAGGGCGCTGCCGACGGCTCGCTGGACTTCAACTTGATCAGCCTCTTCCCTCCCACCTACAAGGGCCGTAAGAACGGTCTTCGTGTTGATATTGCCGAGGCTCTGGCTGGACTACACCCCGTAAGAATCTTGCCCAATCCTATCAAATTACAACAAGAACACGCGTCTGACTGATAGACAGAGCTTGCTCCGCTTCCCCGGTGGCAACATGCTGGAGGGCTTGAACAACGGCACCTACTGGGACTGGAAGGACACTCTCGGCCCCCTTAAGAACCGCCCCGGTTTCCAGGGCGTCTGGGGCTACCAGCAAACCCACGGCCTCGGTCTCGTCGAGTACCTCGAGTGGGCATTGGACATGGGCCTGGACGTTGTCATCGGCGTTTGGGCCGGCCTCGCCCTCAATGGCGATGTGACCGCAAAGGAAGACCTCCAGCCCTTCATTGACGACGCCCTCGACCAGATCGAGTTCATCCGCGGACCCGTCGACTCCAAGTGGGGTGCCCGCCGTGCCGAGCTCGGCCACCCGGAGCCTTTCACGCTCGAGTACGTCGAGATTGGCAATGAGGACTGGCTCGCCGGGTACCCCGGCGGCTGGACCTCGTACAAGGAGTACCGCTTCCCCATGTTCATGGAGGCTATCAAGGCCAAGTACCCCGACATCACCGTCATCTCCTCCGGCGCCACCACCGACGGTGATGGTTTCGAGATTCCTGCCCCTGGCATTGGTGATTACCACCCTTACCGCACCCCCGACGCTCTCGTCGACGAATTTGACCGTTTCGATAACGACATTGGCCACATTGTCGGCGAGGTCGCTGCCACGCACCCCAACGGCGGCACCGGCTGGGACGGCGACCTGATGCCCTTCCCTTGGTGGATCGGCACCGTCGGCGAGGCCGTCTCCCTCATTGGTTATGAGCGCAACGCCGACCGCATCCCGGGAACCTTCTACGCTCCCGTTCTTCGCAACATGAACCGCTGGCAATGGGCCGTCACTATCGTTCAGTTCGCCGCTGACTCGGCGCTGACTACGCGGTCAACCAGTTGGTTCGTCTGGGAGCTCTTTGCCGCACACCCGCTGTCGCACACCCTTCCCACCGTCGGCGACTTCGGCCCTGCTTACTGGGTCGCTGGCAAGAACGAGGCTAAGGGCAGCTTGATCTGGAAGGGTGCCGTGTACAACACTACCGACAACGCTGATGTTGATATTAACCTCGCGTTTGAAGGTGTCACTGCTGGCACTACTGCCTCCTTGACTGTCCTAACCAACCCCAGCGGCGATCCGTTTGCGCACAACGATCCCCTCAACGGTGGTGAGACTACTGTCGCTAGCAACACTACTACTGTTGTAGCCAACGCCGATGGTGTTTTCACTTTCAGCCTCCCTGAGCTTAGCGTTGCTGTTCTTGATACTGAGGGTTCCAAGGGTAATCAGACTGCCCGTGCTATCAGACGCTTCAACGCGTAGATGATGGGGCAGAAAGAATAACGGAACCTACTCTGTAATCCTCTCTGTCAGATTAGTGAATTTCGATCATCCACATTTGCATTGCTGTGCTTGAGTGTACCTCCAGTCCACGCGGGTCAAGGCCATAAATGAGCCAGTGAGAGACAGGGATCCAATCCTTGACGTGCTCAACGCTGAAGTTATGTGTAAGCAAAACATCCCGAAAGGAGATACTTCAAAGTAGCCTTCTACAACTACCTTTCATGTGGATGAAGTTGTAGATTTGCGAGCGATTGTGTATCTGTTCAAGGAGGCAGTGCGACTGGGCTTGCGGCTCTATGTATCACCTCATGCGGGCTTACCAGTCAGCCACTGCCAGAACCATGCAGCTGAAGGACCACCGCGACGAATAGCAAGATAATTCGGTCGCGGCTAAGCCGTTGCGCAGCCACAATCGAGTACATACATATGCATCCTCAGCCCACCCCCTTCTTATCAGGTGGACGATCAGGCTTCAAGGCTGATTGCATGTTAAGTGTGGCTTTCTCCCATGGAAATGAGGCAACGCGAAGATGTATTTCTTCTCTCTCTAACAAACATCACAGCTACCGATTTGGACTTTCAACTCCACTTCATTGCAGCTCACCATGTCTCGATGGCATGAACGCGGGTGCGCTCGGCCTGATGTCGTGGTCTGCGATGGCCTTCCATGTTGTCGATTTTGCTACGGAGTAGCATCAATTGAGGACCTCCAATTCGATACTTCTCTCAAAATTAGAAAAGCTCCTGTCATTGGGAATAGCTCTACATATAATCTCCAATGGCCTGCATGCGTCGATTACGTCGACTCTCAACCAGAAATCCCACCCAATGCGTCTACTAGCTCAAGTCTTGGCTCTAACTTTTCATTTGGAAGAATGTCAGGCTCCGAGCGAATACAATCTCTCTTGAAGGGGCCAGGCGCACCTTTGAAAGAGTTCGCGACGACAGAAGAGCCACAGACGAAGCGAAGAAAACCCTCGGTCGCCGAAGATTCGTATCGCCCTTTAAGATGCTACCCAATCCTGTGGGGCAGCCAAGAGATACGAATATTGAAACTGGATCCAGGGGACAACGATAGCCCTCTCCACGGAAGCTTTCAAAGTGTGCAGTTGAATTTCAATAAGGCAAGATACGAGGCCCTATCATACACTTGGGCCGACCTTTCCGGAGACTCTATCAGGCGTAGGCCAATGTTCATTGGACCCTACTGGGATATCATCCCTATTACTCGGAACTGCGAAAACGCTCTTCGTAGCGTTCAATTGATTGGCGGAGGCTCTCGGTCTATCTGGGTCGATTCTCTTTGCATCAACCAGGACGACGAAGAGGAGCGGAACGCACAAGTGGCTCTTATGCCACAGATATACGCTGCCGCCATCGGAGTTTTGGCATACCTTGGCCCAGCAGCTGATGACAGCGATAGAGCACTCAACGCTATTTTCCACTCAATATCTCATCGCAACTGTGGTCATAGTGGAGAGGAAAGTGAAGTCTGCGCAGATTGCCGGATGCCTATTATAAAGCTTCTCAGCCGACCGTACTTTCGGAGGTTGTGGGTGGTCCAGGAAGTTGTGCTTAGCAGAGCCCTAACGCTTTACTGTGGTTCAAAGTCAACTCTTTGGCCTTTCTCGGGAATATTAACCCCTTTTGTCCGTTGTTCCTGGATTATCACTCGGGACAAAGCTACAATCTGCCCTCTACAAAATCTTTTCGGTCTTATGGTCGCCACCAGCAATTGTTTATGCAAGGATCCACGAGACAATGTATTTGCTCTGCTGGGCTTAGTCTCGCGGTGGAATACGTTGCCAATCTTTCCCGACTACAGGCTTACAGTGGAGGAAGTCAGCATTGGTGTTGCGGCATATTTGACGCAGAGATGTGGCCTTGGGATGGCTGTCCTTCTTTTCGCAGGTGAGAACCGACCTCGACAGAGCACTCTACCATCTTGGATTCCAGACATACGAATGCCGTTCCGCCCATCGGAAAGCGAAAATAATCTTTACGAAAGGTTCGTCAAATCTGGAAAAATCAAGGAAAATGAGAAGTCAATATTCGATAACGTCGTGTTGGACACGGGATCCCTCTCGTTACAACTGTCCTCTCCCTGTGATATCCGCATCAATTCTCGGAGCGGATTTCTAGAGGTCACAGCAATCAGGGTTTGCGATCTTCGCGGATTCTTTACTGAGGACGGCAAATTTGCGAAGTCATTCGTTCGACCTGAATGCGAGGACGGCCCAGAAATGAAGGCTACGCTGATCATCCCCGATTCGCCATCTCCTATTACCAGAAGAAGTGTGTATCGAGATGCCACTCAAATCAACATCTCCCACCACATACGACAAGATGACGTTCTTTTCTGGCTTCATGGCATCGATGGATACGCAGTATTAAGACCAACCCGTATCTCTTCAACTTACCGTCTTTTGTGTGCCTGTGATCTATCAATCATGAATCTCGACACCGGCGAAATCTCAAAAAACATGAGATTCAGACCTTTTAGTACCAATGATCACACACAACTGGATGAACAAAAGAGACGTCTCATAGAAGATTTGCGTTTGACTATTGGAAGAGAGAATGCGAAGCCAATGTTGCGGGCGCAAGCAGAGCCTTTCTTGATGAAACTTGCAACATATATCTGCCGTCATCAGAGCGATTCAAAAAACAGTCTTTGGAAGACATGGAAGCAATTCGAAGCCAAGTTGAAGCCTTACCTCGAGGACGAACGGGGAATTCAGTTACTATTACGTGGCATAACTGAGGCGGATCATATTACAATGGCAACTTGGCAAGATGGTACGTCGTCACATGCCTCTGTATCCAAGAGGTTTATGCTGAGGTCCTCAGGGTCTCTATTAACTCTTCTTTGGTCGTTGTTACCCAAGACAAGGCACCACATGAATGAAGCATTCGGTGTGGAAAAGATGTCGCTTCCGTACGAAGAGGTACTAAAGGGGTTTCAAGATTGGGCCGATACAACGAACGAGCTGTTGTTTGCTATGGCCCATTCGGTTGAATACAAATATGAGTTCGTTTTTGGAATTCGTTCATCTGTGTCAGTACAAAAAGCCTGGCTGAGAGCTTTCAAGAGGTTCGAGAACAGGATGATGCCTCAGCCGAGTAGTATTATGGGAGCCATGGAGGCTATTGTCTATGTCTTGAAGTTGTTCCCTCACACGGAGGAAGAACATGAACAACTTTGCTCTTCTACACACGTGCACCAAAGGCTGCATTCTGAAACAAACGAAATTGTGCGGTCATACTCTGCGAGAAACTGTCTGTGGAACTGGGAAGCGGTAGGAAGCAATTTTGAGAAAAGATGGAAAATTCTGGAACGCTTGAGCCAGGACCGGTGGTTAGCATCATGGCGAGATGGACCAATCGATATGCTTGTGGGACTGGAGCAACAAATGTCGATTCGCTATCAAATGAACTCTTTCGGGTTCAACTTGACTCTACCTACCAATGTTACGATCCAGTAAGTTACGCTAAAACTGTATCATGATCATTCATCGATACTTGAGCATCAGAGGAACTCCAGTGTTTGCTACGTTTCTTTTCTTGGTCATATTCAAATAGAGCTTTGCAGCCACGTCACAATGCATCTTGCCCCTCAGAACTCACAGATGGCAGTCCTTCAAGAACCGTGAGATCATATTATTATGAATTGGGTTGATAGTGAACATGAGTACATTGGTCAAAGACGTAGGCGTTCGCCAGACTAAAACGTTCTCTTTTCATTTCTTGAGTACTAATTCATGTTGGCTCAACTTGCTCAAGGGGCACCACCATCCGAAAACTTCAGTTCCTGGCCGGATACACCCTTCAGTACATTCCCAATGCCAGGCACTTCGCCGTTTCCTCCTTGCATAATCGCAGCATAGTTATCAGCAATGAGCTGGATTCCGGAATCAAATCCCTTCTCATCAAATTGACAATGGCCTCCCACTGGCTTGTTGTTGGCTGTCTGAAGCTTGTTGATTGCTTCGGTCTTCATTCCCTTGTCCTTGACAACCTTTTCGTACGCCTTCATGGTATCGGAGATTGATCCTTGCAGGTGCTGGAGCTCCTTCTGGGTGCTTTGATAGTGAAGTCGAGTTCTCATCAGAGCGTCGCGAGAGGACTGCGATACTTCGACGCGGGGTTCCATTGCACCGCAGCCAAGTAACACTCCATTCCCGGCGAAGTTACCCATATGGGCTGGAATGAAGTATCCAGAAAGCAGAAGGGATCCGCCTGAAATCCCAGAGAAGAAGACATTAGAGGAATTGAAGGCCATGTACTTTGGCAGGGTCTGGAAGACGAGATCGTTGACTGCTTGAGCGTGCGCCACGCCGTCTGTGCGATTGAACCCAGAACCCCCTCCCCAGTGGAGGTTTCTGTCCGGAGAAAGTACTGTGACACCCGCCAAATTGTTTTTTACGCCTTGATTCGGCATTTCGAAGAAAGACGAGCCGCTGTCACCGTGTAGCAGGACGTGAAGCCCGAGGTTGCCCTTCGCGCCTGTTGTCTTGCCGCCCCCGGGTACCTTGCTTGCTGTTGTAAATTCACCTGCCGGACCACTGATGCGGAAGCGAATTTTCAAGTTGCTAGCTCAAAAATTAACGCTTGCTCCGCTGAAGGTGCATAGCGGGGTTGTTCTTTCCAAGCTTCACTTACTTGATTGTTTCTGTAGTATCAAGAATAATGGAACCATCCTTTGCGGGCATAATACCTTGAGGTATCTTGTTCGCTCTGTCGGCAGGAGACTCTCCCCCTGTCTGTTGTGGTAGACACTGAACACCACTGAGGATAAGGACAAGCGCTAGCGTCAGTGAGCGCTGAAAGTGGAAGATCAACTCCATCGTAACTGCTATTGATAATTCGAGTCACTCTAGGAGGCAAGCTAGATAAGACGATAGGACCTGGTTCCTGAAATTGGGAACGGGAGCCCCAAGACCATATATCCATTCATTCAGTTGCTCTACAAAACACCTTTTCCTCTCTCACGAACAGTGGTGATGGCAGTTTTACCACGAAGGTTTCCTCGCAAAGAGTTTCATCTGAACTATCGACGGATGTTTTAGGTCGGATTCGTGGCTCCCGGGGAGGGGACGAGTAAGGTGGAGAGCCAGCAAACAGATGAACAAGGTTTCGACTCGCATAGGTTCGTTCGTGATTTGTGCTCTACCCTGAAGTTAGGCATGCTGCATTGAGCCATGGGAAGCCAGTTATGTTAACAAGTAACATCCTTGATACTGCGAGGTTGCCATGAAACTGTTGCAAACACAGCTCAACAGGCGGTAGATGCCTCTACTGCATTGACAGCCCCAAGTTGTGAAGTTGTTTTTCTCATGGAGGAATCACGTTGAGTCTCAACCGTCAGTCATGGCAATCTTGATAGCGGAATGTGTGATGGATCCTGCTCAGATCTTCGCAAGGAGTAGAGCCAATTGGGGGGCAGCGGTTCGATATTCCAGGCAGAGCACCGGCGGTGCTGTCAATAAATGGAAGTTAGTGTCGAAAATTGAACATGGTCGACATATCACAGAGCCAATTTCCTGTAGGCTTGAGCCATTTGCTAGATCTCAGAGTAGTCTATTGCTGTTTCTGGCGCCTCTTCAGAAGAGTTAAAATGCTGCGATAAAGACTCCGGCCGGGATTCGACCGGCCGACGGCTCACATCCGCCCCAATGATCCAGTGCCAGTGGACCGAAGAGCCCCCACCAGATGTCCCCTCCTTCGGACGACAGCGCACCGATGCGGAGATCTGTGGTGTTGGTCTTTTCGAATAAAGATCGCAGCTTGACAACTCATACGTATTGCTGGTTTTCAATCCGGCGTTATTGTTATTTCCAAGTCCTTCAAACCAGCAAACAATACCTCCAAGATGTCGATGTCTACTGAAGATTGCGCAAAGTCCCGGGAGGGCTTCCCCCGCCCGTTCCCCAACACACCATCCAACGTCCTAGACCAATTGAAAGTGACGGGTAAAGTCATCGTGGTCACTGGTGCTGCTGATGGTATTGGCTATGCTGTTTCCGAGGCCATGGCAGAGGCCGGCGGCAATGTTGCCTTGTGGTACAATTCGTAAGAAAAGGCCTCTCTGGCATACTGCCTTGTCTTTGGAGCTATTCGATGGCTAATGACGTCACAGAAATGATGCTGCAATTCAAAAGGCACAAGATCTAGCAAGCACACACAGCGTCAAGACCTCGGCTTACAAAGTGGATGGTTAGTTGACCGGATGGTTGAATTAGTAGTAGGAATATGAAGGCTAACATCCATTCAGTGTCCGATTTCAACCAAGTTCAAGAGACTATTGCCAAGGTATTGAAAGACTTTGGCAAGATTGATGTGTTCGTTGCAAATGCTGGTGAGTGACGCAGTGCTCGCCACACGCTTTGGTTCTGACCTAGTTGTGACTAACTTCATGCAGGAATGGCCATTTCAAAGCCCATTCTGGAGCAAACCCTAGATGAATACAGGAAACAGATGTCGGTAAACGGTAAGTCGGCCAAGACATGCTACCTTAGAGAATTTCCAAGCTAACACAATCATCAGTGGACGGAATCGTGTACTGCTCCAAGTATGCTGGTGAAGTATTCAAGAGCCAAGGCTTCGGCAATCTCATCATCACTTCGAGCATGAGCGGTCACATCGTCAACGTCCCTGTTGATCAACCCGTCTACAACGCCACCAAGGCTTACGTCACGCACTTTGGAAAGTCCCTAGCCCGCGAGTGGAGAGAGTTTGCCCGTGTCAACATTGTATCCCCAGGATTTTTCGACACCAAGATGGGTGCTGGTCCAGATGCTCTGCAAGAAGCATACCGCATGGCAGCTCTGGGCAGACAAGGCCACACTAAGGAGATCAAGGGCCTATACCTGTATCTGGCGAGCGATGCTTCTACTTACATGACTGGTAGCGATGTCCTTATCGACGGCGGCTATGTCTTGCCTTGAGCGGCCACACGCCAAGAAGACGCGGAGTTCAGGGGCTACGATTAGAAGCGGTAGAGATAATAGAATGTGCTCAATATCTATGACTCTTCTCGTACCACAGAAATGCTATTGATGAGTTCATGGGTGGGCTCTATTTGAGAATTGCATGGATAATTGACCGTGAACTACAGGCTATCGACTTAGTTATTTCGACGCGCAGATACCCCTCACACCCTTCTCATTGTGCAAGTGCCCGTAGATCCTCCTCAGAGCGGTTTTATCCTATTATACTTGACCTGAACACCTTCACAGACGCGAGCTGCCGTGCACAAATTTCTTATCGAAGTCGATTCCAAGATCCTCGAGCACTCTCTTAGCTACCGGACGACCACCTCCCCAGACACCTCCGCCTGGGTGCATGAAAGGTCCGGCAAGGTACAGACCCTTGATTCCAGGCACGCGGTATTGAGCGAGGGCAGGTGTGGGTCGGTTGGTTCCCATCTGGTCTGCCGCCATAGAAAGACCGGCAATGTCGCCGCGTTGGAAACTTGCGCTGTCGGACTGATGGTCCGGAGGAGCAACAACGTGATAGGAGCGAACTATGTCGGGAGTAAAGTTTTCTAGGTACTTGGAGAAGTACGAGAAGACTCTCTGCACCCAGTCATCCTTGATGCGATCCCACGCAGCCCAGCCGCCGTCAGCAGGCTCTGACTTGCACATGACAACACAGTGCAGCAGCGACTTGCCTGGCGGGCAGCGAGTCTCGTCACCTGAGCTGATACAAGAGGCTCCGATCATGATGTTCTCTGGGAGGATTCCTTGATTCATCTCGTCGTAGCTCTGGATAAGGTCTTTGAGGTTTCCTGGGCAGCAAGTGTTCATGACAGCCTTGTCGGCGATTGGCCCTGCTTTAAACTTGAGCGGGCGTTCGAGAGCGGCGTGAACGACGAGAAGACTGAAATCAGAGGTGCGGGTGTTCGAGGCGGCCGAAATGACTAAAGGGTCGATTCCGTCGACGAGGTGACCGAGATTGTGGGGATGAATTTGCCCGATGACGGCGTCCTTTGCCCTGAGTTCTCCAAAACGAGTTCTGACCCCGACCGCACGCCCGCCTTCGGTGATGACTTTGATGACTTCTGTATCCAACTTGACGTCGCCGCCGTGGTCTTTGAGACAACGAATAACGGACTCTGTCCATACAGATCCAGAGCCTTCGGGGACGCAAAGGCCATATATGTCGAGAAGTCCAAATGCCAAGTAGGCCATTAAGCCCGTGCCGGTCGATTTTGGATGAGCAAGTTGAATCTCAGTTACGAATCGCAGCAACGCAACTTGTAGAACCTCGCTTTTGAAGTATCTCTGAATGATCTCCAAGGAGGAGCTGGTCGATGCCATGACAATTTCCTCGGCTGATGGACTGCTGGCAATATCCGCCGACATGTCGCGGGGAGGTTCGAACATAGAGGGTATCAAAAGCTCGGTGATTTGTCGACATTTGTCCACAAATACATTGTAGGCATCGGCGTCTTCCGACGAGAACTCTCGAATGGCATCGACGGTCCTGTGACGCTCTCTGTAGATGGGTAGGACCTTGTCTTCCATGACTATGGCATAGCATGGGTCTAGCTGCTTGTAAATGAGGCCGTACCGAGACTGCAGACCAAGTTCATCATGAGTGATCATGGGGTTCGCGAGAATCATTTGATGAATGGCGCTGTGACGTTCGCTGATAAATCCTGGCTCGGCCATCTGTAGGCTGGCCACCCCACCTCCGGGGTAAGAAGCCTTTTCGAGGACAAGGACCTTCTTTCCAGCTACCGCCAGATACGCGGCTGCGGTCAAGCCATTATGGCCGGATCCCACGACAATGATATCCCATTCAGTCATGGCTGGCGAAGAGGTGAACCTTCCCACTTTGGAGAAATCGGTGGCCATGATGAAAAAGGAGCGCGGTAGGTAAGTCTTCCAAGTGAGGGGGAGCTATCGGCGAATGGCACTAATAGTATCCTAATATTCGACTTCTGTTGAAGTAAGGTGACAGAGGAAGAAAGTGAAGATAGAGGAGTATAGCATGAAGTATTTAGAGAGCGTATGGCATCATGAGTCGCCTTTATAGTCAGTACATCTACACCAGATTAGTCCCAGCACCTTGGAGGACCGGGGCCAATGCTTTACGTTGACACCCTAGTTGTTGCAATCTTAAGGTGCTTTACACATTTCTCCACCAATTTTGACATACGAATACCTCGTATAGGACTAAGGAGCGCTTGGTCAATCTGTACCTGAGTTGTCTTTCAGTACAGGTCGCGTAGAGCCAATGGACGACCTTTTCCTTACTGGTGACATGAGGGTCGACGCTTCGATAGGTGTGACCAGGGTGCATCCTCTACGGATGGGCGACTGCAACACGAATCGCTGGTATGAGCCTCTGTTGCTACACCGCAAATCGGCGACGGACAGTTCATAAAAGCCGATCTTTTAATTCGGCCAAATAGTGATCTGACACGCCGGTAGTTGACCCGGGCGGTCTCGTGCATCCGCGTTAGATGCCGCCCCCACAAACTATGTCCCCGCGATTCTCTATTCCGAGAGGGGTATATAGAGCTATGAAAGTCCCCCGCAGCCTCCGAAAAACACTCGAGGTCTTTGTGGCAACTACCTCACAACCTCCGACGACACCAGCCTACCTCAGCAACAACCCGTGGCAACTCCATAACAAGTCGGAGACTCAGATTGGTGACAGAATACGTCTACGTTCTACTTTTCCTACTTCCGATGGGGTCGAAGGAAGACCATGGCTCTGAAATGTGACATCTGTCAAGCCGAGTTCCGCCGTACGGAGCATCTCAACCGCCACTTTCTTCGTCATCTCGGCGTGCGCCCTTTTGCGTGCCCGACGTGCACCGCTAGCTTTGCCCGAAGGTAAGATGTTCTGAGCAACACGAGTCTCGCATGTCATAGGTTGATAGGTGTACAATCGCCCCGTTGAGGAGGCCCTACCCGAATCAAGTGGCTGATCTTCAACCCCGGCAGAGACTCTCTTCAGCGTCACATGCAGAGTCATGTAGACGTTGACTCTCCACCCACAGGCTCCGATACTCCGAGGAAAACCCGCCGGCATTGCGTTCCTAAAGCTTGCCAGCATTGTGCGCGCTCGAAACAGCGTTGTGATGGTGCCAATCCTTGCGCCAGATGTGAATCCAGGAATCGTTCTTGCCTTTATGCAAATGACGACCGCCGTAACCCTGATTCTTCCCAGGACTTTCGGGCACCAGTATCTGAGACCGGGGGAATTTTTGATGGGCTCAGTTCATCGGGTTTTCCTAGTCAGATTGCAACAACCATCAGTAACGAAGTTGTAAGTGACTACCATCTTGTAGCTTCCCTCATGAAACCCCCTTTATGGATAAGGAGAACGGTAATCTGCAACTGAACTTACGCAACCTTGTAGTTGCCAGAAACTCAGGTGGAAAACTCGCAAGAAGAGCCACCTCAGGAACCAGGCCCAGATGCCAGAGACAATTTCGCTGCTCTCTGGAACCAAGATGGGCTCCAATTGGAGCTGGATCCGCTATTTCGCACACCAAGCCAGTGGTGCTTTCCATTTTCGACAGCTAATGCATGGCTGAGCTGGGATGATTTCCTGAACAATGAGTTGGCGACACAAGAAAATACCACGGCTGCCCCTATGGCTGATGAAGATGGCTTGCGGCCTCAGCTTATCTCGGAATATGCATCTAATGAAAGACGCAAAGAAGCCCAGGATTGTTCTGTTCGTGCAGAAGTAGACGGCGCAGTCTCAGAAACAGCTATTCAAGAACCTACGCCAACTTCTCTCTTATCAGAAGATACCCCAAGGGCAATTTTTACTAATCACTCTCAACTTTCTTCTACCTTCGCGAATGCTTTTCTGCGTTCATCGGCTTTCAGTCGAGATCACGACGACTCCACGGAGATTGAACAGAACCAGGTCCATCGAAAAAGGCACTTCGTTACCCATGGTCTCGAAGACCTCAGTCGAATTGCAGGTTCTTCCTTCCATCCCGAAGGTGTCGATGGAAATGAGGAGGACTGGGATCTTGAAGCCTACGACCATGTTCCGAGCTTAAGCCCGCAAGCTTACTCGACTCTCCAAGCACAGTTTGAAAAGCTAAATGCGGACACAGACTACTGCAAAGCATTCACAGATAAGTCATTTCCATCTCGAGAGGCCGTTGACGTATACATCCAATCTCATTTTGAGCACTACCACCCTATCTGGCCTTTGCTCCATCAAAAGACTTTCGACCCAGACCGTGTTCATTGGATACTCCTGCTCGCCGTTGCGGCGACAGGGTGCGGGTTTTCGAAGTTTGGCACACTAAGTGATGTCTTCCTCTTGCAAGAGCTTCTGCGGCGCTCGATCAACCTTTGTGTAAGTTCAAGTCGAAGCCTACCGGTGCACAGAAGGCAGTCTATACTAACAACCCGCAAAGTTGGACCTTGACCCTGTGCCGGATGCGGCTTCAGAATTGTGCTTGACACAAGCTGTATTACTGGGTCAGATAGGGTTGATGTTTTCTGGAAGCATGTCTTTCGCCGAGCACGCCCAAAGAAACATGTCTTTACTCGCGACACTTTGCCGACGAGCAGGCTACTTCAGCGAATCTCAGTCACTCTCTGAGGATATTGCACCCCTGCCAGCCAGTTGGAAAAGATGGATTTTTGCGGAAAGCAAAAGAAGACTTGTGCATCTCTCATGGGTAATTCTCCAAATCCCCTTTCCAGTCTGTAAGCGCGTAAAAGCTGACACTGCAATTGATCTCAAGCTATTGGACGGTCAACTGGGCTTGTTCTTTGATTTGCCTCCGACTATACCCACAGATCTCCTACTACTCCCGCTGCCGTCTGACGAAGGACTTTGGGCATCGGATTCTGCAGAAATATGGGCAGATCAAGCCTCCAGATCACCAAGTGAGCAATGCCCTGTACGCCGCAGATATTGAACAAGACCACTAACCGGTAAGACTTAGCCAATGACAGCCTTCTTCGAGAACAACTTGTACACTTTTGGCGTGACAAGAAGGTAAAGGAAGGCTTGAGTAGCTTGAATAGGCTCTTCCTTACTTTTGCCGTGTATCGAGACTCCGCGAACAATCAAGACGCAATTCACTACCTTGAAATTTTGCGTGGCGACGAAGACATAAAGCCGCCGACCGGCAAAATTCAGAGGATCACACTTCAGCACAACCACGCTTTCAGCCTCCTTCTCCATATGCCTTTACGGGTACTCACTGCATTTTCTGGCTGGGGCGTTAGCCCTCAAGTTAGAGAAGCTGCAGACGGGAGACTTTCTCTATGGCTCCGCCAGAATAAGGGAAAGGCGCGTGTGATTATCTATCATGCCGCCAAATTGTTCTCGTATATTCGGAATCATCCCACTTGTGGACATCATGAGAATAATGCCTTGCTGTACGCCACACTCTCCATGTGGATTCACACTCTTTTCAACAGGCATCAGACGAGCTCTCTCAGAACTCATCGTCTTGATAAACCAAATCATCAAGAGGCCTTGGTTCAATGGCTATCAGGGGACTCTGACTTCCGACTATACGTGGCGGGCATTGGAGATTTAAATGATGAACGTGCATCCGATCGTTTGGTTCAAGAGAGTGTGCGGATTTTGACTCGGAAGTCGGGCTGGTCTTTGGGTCTGGCTGTAAGTATGGTCATGAGGGCGCAATGGAGGTCGAATCGTGGAATACGATGATAATCTCTCTTGTTTGGGGTCTCCATTTGCTACCCTATTGTCGAAGAATCTTTGTCGCTGTCAGAGACCTCCCGTATTACCATGCAATTGGATTGAAGGTGTAATACCATTCAAAGACAATCAAATATCACCGATTCAAATTCTGAAGTCAGTTCGTAGATCACTCATGTTACAGTTCCCGCGGTGTCTTGAGGTATTTACAATAAAGCTAGAACTCCAAATCCTTCTTGACCACGATATTCTCATCTCCGATCACCGCAAAAGACTTATCTGCGTCAAAAGACTTTGGCAACTTCTTGAAAAGAGTTTCAAGCTTGTTCTTCTCGCTTAGGAACTTTGCCGCGGAGGCTCGGTCTGGGAACCAGTACTGCTCGAAAGCCGCCATCGTGTGCCAGTCGGAAGTGGCAAAAGGCGTTCCGGCGAAGAAACTGGTAGTATCCTCGGGGGTTACTTCCCGGTTGAGGACATATCTCATCAAAGATGTACCGGCTCCGAGTTCTGTGATGGACGCTGCTCGACTAGTAAGGTCGTTTTCGATGTAGGTTGCGTCTTGAGACTTTGCTAGGAAGATCAGCAGCAATGCTGCTTTGATTTTACGCTTCTCAAAGAGGATGGGGTCAAACAGACTCTCCGCAAAACTTTGACTGAGGATGCCTTTCTGTGCTGAAATGTCTGCGAATTCGTGTTTACCAGCAGAAGCTTTGTACTCGGGAGCTTGGAATGAGCCCCAGAGACCTTTCAATGACGTCCACCCTAGGGTCGTCACCGCGTCCCAAGGCTCCAGACCCCCGTTCGGAACGCCTGGAATACTGGAATGAGGGAGTGCAACAGCCTGAGTATAGTTCCGGAGGATGGGAACCACGTCGGAGATATGCTTCGTCATTGCAGCATGGACGTTTGTGTATTCCTCAAGAAACTTGTCTTCCGCCCAACCGGGGATCCGTCTACAGGCAATGGTCATCTTGACGAGGGGCCTCTTTTGGCTATACGCTTCCTTGACCGGTGGTATAACGGGCAACAACAGATGCGAGTCGTATCTCCCGCCAAAATGGATGACATGGCGTCCTTTGTTAATTGTGGAATTATGCCTGGGGATAGGAGCACCTGGCGGGTACTTGCCGTAGTCGTGTCCAGAGACTACGAGGCTAAGTCGCTCTCCCGCCCGGAATCGACAGCTCGTGGGCTGTATCTCAATCTCCACAGGCACCACATCTCCGGCTTTGAGAGGCTCCAGATCTCTTCGATGGAGATGAACTGGTTTCCATGGGGTCGAGGCTGTCTCATCCAACTCGCGTCGAGAGGCTCGAAGCCAACCGAAACCAATGGGGCCGGTATCGACAACTGTGATCCATGGGAAGTACACATCATTTCCATCTTTATCCTTCTTTCGCAAAGTTATGAAAAGATCCAGGTTGTCGCCACCATCAGTCACTTCGACCCAGAGTTTGAGCTTGGAATGGCCTGCAAACTCAAGAGAGTTTCGAAGAGGAAGCTCGAAGGCAACTTCACCCTCGCTCGCATCGTATGATGTTTGGCTCTCCGCGCGCTGAGCAACCTTGCTCAAGCCAAAGCTTGGGGTCAGGAAGTACTGCGTATATTGGGTTTCTGGAATTGGGAATGCGTCACTGTATCGCCACTCCCCAGTGTAGTAGCGCTCCCTCATGGTGTAACGAACTTTGGGCCAGTACTGAATTTCTGTCGATAGCCCGAGCAGATAATGATCGAGAAAAGCCTTCTGGCGGGCCAACGACTCTTCAGTAACCGACCACTCCCATCTATCATTCATCACACAAAGGTTAGCGACGCTACTTTTGGCGGCGATAGTGGAGAAAGACTGACTTTTGATATTGATGGATCTCAAGATACTTGACCTGAGAAGCGATCTTCTCCCAAGCGTTGAGTGTCCCACGTGTGTGTATAGCATGATCTCCCCACCCGCAAATGATATATGCCGGGGCCATGATTTGAGAGAGAGCTGGAATCTTGCTTTGCCAGTACTCATCGAAGTATGGGTGCGTCTTGGCCCCATCCGTCGTATCCTCGACGTAATTCTTTCCCCAGTTGAAGAAGTACGGATAGCTTCAACCATTTCTAGTCAGCTCCACTTCATGAAGGATCTAGTCCAAGAATGTTCTAAAAGAGGGAGAAGACTCACACGGCACTGAACTGGGTTTCGGGAATTCCGCCTTTCAAAGCCATTTCGCGATACATGTCAGTCATGCCGTCAATTGGAATGATTGCCTTTCATCATTTGGTGGTTAGCAATTCAGATTGATCCGAAGCAGGGATAGGAATACATACCGCAAGGGATGGAGGTTGTTCAGCTGCTACGAGCCAAAGCACCATTGCATAGCCACTGGCTCCATACAAGGCAACCTTGCCATTTGACCAACTCTACTTTACAAGCCATTCGACAAGATCATATCCTGCAAAGATATTTCAACTTAAAAATGGCTCATCCTCCAATGATAATGTTAGAAGATATCAAGACAGGCACTTACCATCGATTCCGACATCTCGAGAGTAGTAACTCTTGTCGCCATCCGACTGAAAACAACCCCTGGCATCTATGCTGGCAACAATGTACCCGTGACGACACCACCATCCCGGATCCGCCGCTTCAAACTCGTAGTCTTTGGTGATGCGAGCTTTGTCGAAGCCTGCACTTGGTGGGAAAACTGCAATGTCGGTGGCGCCGTCTTTGCTGTAGACGCTGTAGTTGAAGATCACGGGCAGTTTCGTGCCCTCCAGGTGACGAGGCCGGTAAATGTTGCCTCGCAGGATTGTGCCGTCTCTAACTGGGATGGCAACATCCATATCGGAGACGATGTGACCATCTGTGACGGTACGAGGTTTGGCATCCTTGACGCCCATTACCTGCGGGTCCCAGGCTGTAGGCGATATCAGCAAGTACTTCAAAAAACCTCGTTGTGTATCGTTCCGCGAAATTCTGGCACAGTAAATGAAATCCTACCTTTGATGAACTTTCCCAGTCTATGGGTCTTTGCGAGTTCGGCCTTGAGAAGTTCAACATCAGCCATGTATTTTAGGTCTTGATTATTCATCGATCAGTGATAGAAAATTGTAATTGTTCGAGAGTGGGAAGGGTTCATGAGATTGTGGGATTAATGTCCGTAGGATCAATGACAACTTGTATTCAGTACCTAATACACCTCAATTGTAGCTCATATAGTCTCGCTCTTGCCCTCTGACTTCAATACTATCACCGAAGTTTCCGACTCCAATGACGAATGCGATCTAAGACAACCCCAGAACAAAGTGAACATTGCGGGGATCGGAAATCGTGGGGTAGCGGGGCCGACGCCGGTTGGTGGGGCCGATGATGGTTTGCATCTCGGCAGCAGCGCTCGGCTCCGGGCTGTGATGCGCGGGGAATATGGGGCATCGTGATCCTTAACTTGCGGTAGTACATATTAGGTTTGGGGGCAGTTTACTCTATGTTTTAAATAATCACACAGAGACAGGTTCCTGAACTCGTAGGGTCGTCTGTCATCTTTCACTGTTATACTCCTGTCGTTGGGAGCTGAGACTTTGTAGGGGCATTATGTAATAATATTATCTGTGGCTAATGATAGAGTAGAACCCCCTATGAGCTCTTAACGTGCGTTCATGCCGTAGACCACAGATCCCTCTCCCGGATTTCCTTAGTGGTTGCACTGGCTGGCGGGCTTCTGGCCCTTAACACCCTGAATGCAGTTGTTGGTGACATCAAGAACGTGGTTCTTCAGCAGAGCAGTGCAGGCCGGTCCCAGAGTTCCGCTGAAGTTGTTGCTGGTGAGGTTCAAGACTCCCAGAGTGTCGAGCTTGCACAGTCCCTCGGGAACCGATCCGGACAACTTGTTATCGCTAGCGTCAAAGACGGTAAGGTTCTTGATGCTGTAGTCTTTAGGAAGCGACCCGGACAAATCGTTGCCCAGCAGAAGAATCTCCTGAACGTTCTTCATGTTTCCAATGCTCTTAGGAATGGATCCGTTGAGCTTGTTGTTGGCCAACGTCAAGTAGATGACAGGGGAAGAGCCAACGTTGCTAGGAATGCTGCCCGAGAACTTGTTGTCGTTCAAGAAAAGGACATCGAGGTCGAGGTTGAAAGCCTCCTTCGGGATGGGACCGGAGAACTCGTTGAAACGCAGATCGAGGAAAGTCAAGTTGAGGTCGAAGACACCAGTTGGGAAAGGTCCGGAAAGCTTGTTGTTGCTGACGTCAATTTCCCACAGCCACTTGAGAGCCGAAAGGTCCTTGGGAAGCGATCCCGTGAAGCCGTTGCTGTTGGCGTGGAAGAAGGTGAGGTCGGTCAGCTTGTCGAGGAAGCCATCGAGGACCAGGCCCTTGCCCTCAAGTCCGAATCCATTGAGATCGATCCCTGACAGGGCGTTGTTTCCGGTGTTGGGGTTCTTGGCACAGCTGAAGCCGTCGAAGTTGCAGACGTTGTTTCCGGTCCAGTTCTTGGTGACTCCTGACGGGTCGACGGTTATCTTGTGCTTGAAAGATTGAACGAGAGAAAGATCTCTCCCCAGGTTCGAGCCACTGGAGGCGGCGGGCGCACCGAGCGCAACGGAGAAAAGGAGCGACGAGAAAAAGAGCGAAAGAGGAGCCATTGTGGAAAAAGAGTGTATGTCGAGACGATCAAGCAAGTGAAGTCACGATATTTCCCGCCGTGGGTAACATGGGAGCGCCCAAGGATTTATGTGTTTGCCAACCGGCCAGTCCGCATTCAGTCCGCCTACCTAATTTCTGCTGAGTTTCGACAAGTCACCGGCTTACGGCGCCTTTGAGTTTTCGTATTTAAGTGTATCACGACTCGGTTTTATTTCGCCCCCACAAATGTGCTGATGAACTGAGCTGCAGTTGTTTATTAACCTTCGTACTAGGGCGTCCGTGGGGCGAACAAGATGAACACACAATCAAACTGATAATTCCGCTTGGAACTCTCTAAAAGCAAAGCTCTCTTCTTCTACAAATTGTCTCGGCGAAGCGGGAATTGCTTTCTTCTCAATTAGCTTCACCGATACACCTTCAAGCACCTCTTCGAGGACTGTGCACTAAGTCAGACGACGACAGGTCGGTGTTCATTGGCAAAGTTCTAGGCGGTATTGCAGCGTCCACAACGGATCTATCACCCAGTAGCACAAAGACTATAGCGTATTACAGGCCACATTCGAAGGCTACAGTTACTTTGTATACAGCGAATCCACTGCGATGGCTTTCAATCGCAGCCAGCAGCACTGAGGCGTTTGTGCGGGGACTACAAGACTGTGTCCATACGGCCAGCGATTTAAAGCTAGAAGTGTGCGTCAACCCAGGATTTGATAGGTAAATCTTCAAGGCCCGAAAGGTTAACAAGAACAAAAACCGCGCCAATATGACAGGTCAACTGACATTGACATCATGGTCATTCAACTTCGCCGATGCCAGACCGGCCTATTCTATATGCAGTCTATAACACCGGCCTTAAATGCAACGTGCCATAAGTCAACATACCCACTTCCTGGCACCCCCCTGTTTCTGGCACCACAAAAACGATGGGATCACAACCCAACCTCCTCATTACTATTAACTATTGATCCTCAACCACACCCACTACAATACAGCTGCCAGCCTCACTAGGGCATTCAGAGTCGCTGGATTCAGCCGTGATAACCTCCTTTTCACCCGCTTCGATTTGAGCCCGATGGATATCCCTGATGTTCGCGAACTTCGTATTGGGATCG